TATACATGTTGAGAATTTAAATAATGTAAATATTAAACACATACATGTAACTAAAAGGGTTACTAAAGGCCAATTGTAACCTTGCTGTGAAATTTAAATTTTACTGAAGTGTATATATACTGCTGTAAGGTGTCCAATTTTAAGAAACAATGGTTGCTCATGTCTAATAACAAATATAATTTCACAGAAAATATTATAGAATAGCTAAGCCATTGACTATGTGATTGAAAGTTACTTTTATTCCTAACTGGTTATGCCAGTTGGTGAATTGATGGGATGCAAACATTTTATCATGTTTACTCCCTCCACTTCACAACCAGCTTCTTCTAAAGGCGTCCTGCCCTTTTCCTATAATAATAAAAAAAGAAGTTTTATTATTAGTATATTGACTTGACATATGACAATAATATAAGGATGAGGCTTCAAACAGGAAAAATTTGCGGCTCAGTTGCGCATCAACTTTCTGTTAAAGGTAAAGACATTGATAGTGTATAGAGCAGTTTTTCCATGCAGTAAACAGGTATTTGCGACCATCAAAGTACCAATTGATGCCGTCGGAGCTTGAAATACAATATTGTTATCTCCATTCTAATGAAACCAACAGAAAACAACGTCAAATCATACATTTAAAATCTGTCATACTTCGTTTACGCTTACGCGTACTTTTCTTGGCATCAAAGTGTGAATTGATGCCATAAGAATTGGTGACGTTATCCAATGAAAATGAACTTTACAAACGATATTGCATTAGAATGCATGATAGTCGGGTTTCAAACTTAAAGGACCGCGGGCCCGCGATGTATAATTTTTGAGAGTGGTGCTATCGGTCTTACCGCGATGTTTAATTTTTGTCTGTTGTGCTAAGATTTTCACTGAAAAAATCGTTATCAGTTAAGTTTTGACCAGTTCAACCCAGATTATTAACACCTAGTGATCTATATACCTTATGAGATTAACCTTGTTGATTGGATTTAAATGATGTAGTTAACACTTGTTATGAGATCTTTTGTGTTTTCATTAAGAGATCATAACTATGATCATAGATAATTATCTTATGGCTTCAAACACAACCCAAGTGCTGACCTGTGACAAAGTCGGCAAATACTTTGTACACAAACAGTGTCGATATGATACTGGCAATTGTTGTACAAACGCCAGTATATTTGTTGTACATAATAAAGTTGGCTCATTACATATATAATTGACAATTATATATGTAATATATATATAATATATATAATAATAATACGTGTATCTGTACTTTAAACCTTCCGCCATTGTGTTAGTGTTCTATCATGATTTTTGCATACTTTGAACGACAAAATTATTTTATATCTCTACCTGTGTGACGTTTACATTCTGACGTCAAACACGCGACTTTAAGCCAAAGTTAATGTTAAAATTACGTTTCGGTCCCAGTGCTTAAAATCCCTCGATCCTTTATGAGCAGAAAGTTGATGAACCAGGGGTATGTCAAAGAACGTCTCGTCCTTTTTCTTAAAAAAAGTTCATCGGAAGGTACCAAGACCTTGTTGATAAATATTCCGTATCAACTTCACAAATAATACATGATGGTCTTGAAGTATAGATTCTGCATACTGACGTTGTTTATCATCTTAACAACGTGTAATATTGTTCTTTCATTTGTCTTTGTTCTATTATTAATATTACTTTTACTGTTTGGTTTGTTTTCTGTGATATCCATTTGACGTGGCTAGGTACTTATACATCCCGTCAATGTGTTTGTATTATCTTTCATTTTTACTGGTGTGTTTTGTATATGCGACTTTTTGTGTTTCTGTGGTTCTTATAACGTGACTCTGTACTTTAAAAGATCCCGTCATTATGTTATTGTTCTATTATATGTCATTATGTTATTGTTCTATTATAAATTTGAAAATACTTTGAACGACAAACGACAAATTTATTTTACTCGCGTAGTGGTATTTACCATATGTGGATTCTTAAGGGTTCTGAAGAACTTCCGGACAATTTTAAATCTCGGTCTATTTCTGAAATTAATTCTAACATAACTTTTGATTTTTTAACCCTGTATACCAACATTCCCCATGTGAAATTATAAAATTGTTTTGAATAGACATTGAATGACAAACTTTTTTCTTATGTGACGTTTACATTTTCTGACGTCAGACACGCGAAGCAATGAATGTGGTTTTTAATTTGATAGATGCTTTTGTGCTTTTTTTGTAAATAATTGTTTGTTTTGATATTGTAACACAGTGATGACTGCTGTACCCATATTTTGACTATTTTATTTATAATGTCTGTTTTGTTCACGCATCGTTGTAAATATAACGGAATTTGATAAGACTGTCGTACAAGTGAGAGGTTTAGCGCTATAAAACCAGGTTCAATCCACCATTTTCTACATTTGAAAATGCCTGTACCAAGTCAGGAATATGACAGTTGTTGTCCATTCGTTTGATGTGTTTTGTCATTTGATTTTGCCATGTGATTAGGGACTTTCCGATTGAATTTTCCTCGGAGTTCAGTATTTTAGTGATTTTACTTTTTATGGGTTGATTTGGCATACATAAATAAAATACAAAAATAAGTAAGCAATGAACGAGGTTGTTAAATGTGATATATGCTTTTTTGTGCTTCTTTGTTAAATGTTTGTTTGTTTTTGTTGTGATTAAGATTGTGACACGGTGTTGACTGTTGTACCCCTATTTTGACATTTTTACCTATTATGTCTGTTTGTTTTATTCACGCATCGTTGTCAATATAATAGAATTTGATGCGACTGTCATACAAGTGAGAGGTTTAGCGCTATAACAAAAGGTTCAATCCACCATTTTCTACATAAGAAAATGCCTCTACCAAGTCAGGAATATGACAGTTGTTGTCCATTCGTTTGATGTGTTTGTGCTTTTGATTTTGCCATTTGATTAGGAACTTTCCGTTTTGAATTTTCCTCGGAGTTCAGTATTGTGATTTAACTTTTTGTACATTTCTCAATTCTTAAATTATAGTATTATATGTCTCTGATTAAACCATGGCCAAAATTATCTATAATTATGACATAGTTATTTAGGAGATAACTGTATTGAATTTTAAGCTCAGTCGGCATCAATTGGTGATTTGGTGGTCACAAATTAAGTTTACTGGCGACGCGTAAAAGGAGCCAGTAAACGGGTATTTGCGAACATCAAATCACCAATTGATGCCGTCGGAGCTTGAAATACAATATTGTTATCTCCATTCTAATGAAACCAACAGAAAACAACGTCAAATCATACATTTAAAATCTGTCATACTTCGTTTACGCTTGCGCGTACTATTCATGGCATCAAAATGTGAATTGATGCCATGAGAATTGGTGACGTTATCCAATCAAAATGAACTTTACAAACGATGTTGCATTAGAATGCATGATAGTCGGGTTTCAAACTATAGTAACTGTCAACAAGTAATTCAAAGGGGACGGACATCTGTACATATCACATGACCCAGTAGAATATTCAAGTTTATTTACAATTAATTGCAATTTATTTAATAAATAAAATGCATGACTGTACCTTCAAACTAGATATCTTTATTCATAATTAATGAATAACAGAAGTAAAATTTTATCCATAAGCACATGACATATTAAATCTATTTCCTGTCATTTAAGCGGGAAAATAGGGAGACTTTGATGTTGACATTGAATATGGTTATTTATACATGTAGATCTTTATAGATTTAGGAATTCTTTTTAAATGGATCATGAAAAATAAAGATTTAGATTTCAGTGCAGTATTAAGTCTGTATCTATAGATATAAGAAGATGTGGTATGAGTGCCAATGAGACAACTCTCCATCCAAGTCAAAATTTATAAAAGTAAACCTTTATAGGTCAAAGTACGGTCTTTCTATGTTTGATTATTACAAAAGACAAGAAAGGTTAATGTTTACATTACATATTGCAAAATGTTCTAAAATTTATGACAAATTTCTTTTGATTAAAATTTAAGATAGAAACTGGTTCAAATAATAAAACAACATTTGTTCTTGTTAATATTATATCTCCTTATGCCAGGAATCCTTTCAAATACAACATCTTTCTTTCTAGAGTAGAAACTAGAAAGTTTTTTAAATTGAACAATGTTGTTCTCTTTTGAATGATATTGCATTTTTATAGATCATGGATTATATAAAAGATTTAACAAGTGAAACTGTGAGCTACTGCTCACTGATGCTACCCCCGCCTAAATACTTGACGATAAACAGGAAGTTGTTGAGTGATGAATCTGAAAACACATCACACGGTATAGCTGACTTATATAAACCCTGAAATCAAATTTCATAAATCCTTTTAATATAGTTCCTGAGAAAAATGTGACGAAAAATTTTCAAATTGGATGTCATTTGTACAATGATGTAAGTGTTCGGTAAACAGGAAGTTGTTGAGTGATGAATCTGAAAACGCATCACACGGTATAGCTGACTTATATAAACCCGAAAACCAAATTTCAGAAATCCTTGTCATGTAGTTCCTGAGAAAAATGTGACGAAAATTTTCAATTTGGATGCCATTTGTAAAATGGTGTAAGTGTTCGGTAAACAGGAGGTTGTTGAGTGATGAATCTGAAAACGCATCACACGGTATAGCTGACTTATATAAAGCCTAAAACCAAATTTCATAAATCCTTTTAATATAGTTCCTGAGAAAAATGTGACGAAAAATTTTCAACTTGGATGTCATTTGTACAATGATGTAAGTGTTCGGTAAACAGGAAGTTGTTGAGTGATGAATCTGAAAACGCATCACACGGTATAGCCGACTTATATAAACCCGAAAACCAAATTTCAGAAATCCTTGTAATGTAGTTCCTGAGAAAAATGCGACGAAAAATATTCATGGGACGGAGGGACAGACGGATGAACTGACGGAGGGACGGATGGACAGACAGAGGTAAAACAGTATACCCCCACTTTTTTAAAGCAGGGTATAATAATGATAATTACTTTAAATTTAGATGAATATTTTGTAATGAACCATGTTTTATTTATTTTTAAAAAATATTAAAGTATACAAACTGTTTATTGATTTACTTCTTTTTTCCCACACGTTTGTGACTTAATGTCTACATTTCACAGTACCACAGTATTAAAACAAAACAAGAGACATAAAATCTACAGTAACTAGAAATATAGCTAAGTGACGTGACGCGACACAACTGATTGTATGAATTATTTCACCAAGATGTCCACACACGTTACCCTGGTGCTATCCAAAATTCCTGGGAAGAACACTGACATGTTTCATGCCAGTTCCTTATATTGTTTTATGTCAGGTCAATACACTATTATTGTCCAATGCATGTAATTTCACCTATATTTATAAGTAAATAATAATTAAAATTTAGTGGTTTTAACAGAACGCAATAATTATATCTTGAGATCTTCATCCTCTTCCACTATCCAAGGGTAAGTGTAAAACGTACCCTTCAGATATGCAAGGTAAGGCTTCTGAAAGTAAAAAAGACATTCAAGTATAAATCTTTGTTTCAATAGGGTTAGTTCCAATGGTTGATAACACTTGTATTTCATTTGGTATTGGTGCAAAAGGTCTATCAGTATACATGAGACTATGACCTATGTAAATCTGATCGGTTCTGTTGATTTTTTGTGAATTTTGTAATACAATCTTAAGAAAAATTTGAAGAATCATGAATTTTGTCCTGTTATTGCCAAAACCCAATTTCTTTGACTGATAAGGTCAAGGTCAGATGACATCTTCCAGACAGAAATATACGCCTTACTATTGTTTATTTTAAAGGTTATTATTGTGTAAACTCGGTCGAGTAAATCACAATGAGTTTAATCCTTATAATTCTAATCCAAACATTATTATTGCTTTTAATTTAACTTTCATTTCTCCTCCGAATTCCATGTATGTTTCATGCTTAAATACATGTACATTTCAAAGTCAAATCAATCGTTCAACTTTAGGCAGTTTAATATTGTCTTAATTCTTTGTAACAATTAAATAGTTAAAGAAAATGCACAGGTCTGAATACTGGTTTAATTCACAAGAACTTACTAGTCAGTACAAATTTAAATCACAATTAATGCTTTCAGATACAAATCTTTTGCTCTTGAAGTTGAAAATTAATTTACCTTGATGCTTGAACTATCTAGATCAAGAGCAACATTATTTAGTTTTTTAATGCTGCTCTTGATCTCTGTGACGGAATTATTCATTTCGTCTACTTTCTTTACAAGGCCCTTCAGTTCCTTCACTACAGATAAAGAAAATCAATTATTTTTAATACCCTAATACACCACTGTCTCAGGTTAGGGTAAAGGTTTGTGCGCCTGTTAAAACCTGCTGCATTTTATATACACCTATCCTAAGTCAGGAGCCTGTTGTTCAGTGGTTGTCGTTTGTTGGTGTAGTAAATAGGGTTTTTTTTTCGTGTTTTGTATAGTAATTTTAATGAGAGCGTTGGTTTTCCTGTTTTAATTGTTTTACACTAGTCATTTTGGGGCCCTTTATAGCTTGTTGTTAGGTTGGAGGCCAAGGCTTTGTGTTGAAGGCTGTAGTGAAACCTATAATTGCTTTCTTTAACTCCATTGTGTCTTGGATGGAGAGTTGTCTCATTGGCACTCATACCTTATCATCTTATTCATATTAATTAAATTAGCCTTCAATGAGCATGTTAATATCTAATTAATCAACATCTTCTCTCTATTTATGCAACAAATACTCGCATTTTGGTAAAAACCGAATGAAAGATTAATGCTTCAGTCAATTTGTCAGTTATTCAAAACTTGTTTAAACCTGCTGCATTTTTACAACTGTCCAAAGTAAGAAACCTCAAGTCTTGTATGTCTTTGTTAGTCTTGTATGTTTTTAATTTTGGTCCAACTGAATGTTTCTAAGTGTAGAGTGGTGTCCATTTTGCTGAACTAGAATGTTTCATTTTCTCGATATTTGTTATACGTTATATTGATTGGCTAACAACAATCTCGCGTCATTCTTCATTTCAAAATGAATTGCACGAATTGTAACATACATGATGACACACTTTTCCACAATAAAGTCCACAGGTAAATAAAAACCAAACTTGATCATAGCGAAAAAATGTTATTATAAGTATTGAATGCTTCTTTTAGTAATTTCATAGGGTTGTAAAAGCGTTGACCGTGCGTACATGTTTAAAATGAAGCGCTTCATAAAAAATGTACTTCGGTCTACGCTTTTACATTCCAATGAGTTTACAAAAAGAAGCATTCAATTCTTAGATAAAAGAACGGAGCTTCATAATATACCCCACCTAGCACATATTTCAATAGTAAAAGGTAATATATTCCAATATTTGTTTTTAAGTAAGTCGATAGGCATTGATTTTCTAACTTGTCCGTGACATTGCTAATGTAAACCTATGATGTAAGTTTCATTAATGTCGGTCAAGATTTGTACATAGTGAGCGCTAATGATTCCATTTTTCATATAATTAATATTTCCAAGGGGCGTAACTCTTTAAAAATATATCAATGTACTCAAAAACTGTTGCTATTAAAGTACAATTTCAAACATATGTAACCTAGCTGTTCCAAAGTATTTATATTTTGCAGCTTTTCTGACATATCAATAATTAAACATGTATAGTTGTCACCGTATTTCATGATGGTTAAATGAAGTTTCATCTAATTTCAATGTGATCAGGTACACATTTTTATTTGAAAATAATTTTATATTTCTAATTGTAAAATAACATACAAACATATCATCTTGGGAAGAATATAAACCTGCCATCAACCTCTTAAAAAAGATTCTTGAAATAAACTGGAAATGTTAGAATGAAACGAAATAAGTAAAGCAAATGTTTGGCATACAGTATATCAAGCAATAAGTAATATTATAAATAGCACGAATGGCCCTGTTAGCAAAAGTCTAAAGCCTGTATCATTATTTTACTAAGAATTACCTCGATATGTAGTTATTTATGATTGTTTCACATACAACAATAATGTGTCCATAGTACACGGATGCCCCACTCGCACTATCATATTCTATGTTCAGTAGACCGTGAAATTGGTGTCAAAACTCTCATTTGGCATTACAATTAAAAAGATCATATCATAGGAAACAAGTTTCAAGTTGATTGGACTTCAACTTCATCAAAAACTACCATGACCAAAAACTTTAACCTTGAAGCAGGACAGACGGACGAACGGACGAACAGACAAACGGACGAACGAACGAACGAACGAAGGCACAGACCAGAAAACATACTGCCCCTCTACTGTCGTAGGTGGATCGTAGGTGGGGCATAAAAATTTAAAATTTTAAGATCAATATTTGAAGGTATCTAAAAGTATAAAAGTATAATTTAGTGACAAGAAAACAAATTTAGCGTAAAAAATCTAAATATCAATTATTCTAAATAAATAAATTTTGAAATATAAATTAAATTGTTTTTCTTTTTATAGACGGGTTTATCTGTAATTGACCTAGAAAACATGGGCGCATCCATTAACCTCTCACGTGACCGATCCGCCATTACAACCGTGAAAAATAACGCACGTGTATTGATCAAAACATTATCGATTTTCTGTTTACATTTGTATTTCTTTCATTTTCTGATTTATTTTAGTATGGATGCTGCCGAAAGTTATAAAAAACATGGAAGCATTTCTTGTGCAGTTGATAGTTGAACAAATAATCGTAAAAAACTTCAGGTGTGGAAAAAATCAATATGCGAATTACACAACGAGTTGCACAATGACTGCCCTCGTTTGATTCCATATACGTCTTATGTGATGCCTTCAGACGAGCCAACAAACCTGAGTGGATCAAAGCCGTATAAACATAAAAAAAACTTTGCATAAACAGGTTTTTGTATGGTCCTGACATTTTTTTTGGATGATGCGCCACTGCACACAATCCGTTTTTTTTTTTTAAATAAAACTTGTTATGAAAGTAAAATAATACTGGCCGACGAATGTTTACACGTTGTAAAACGACTGTTAAAAACTTAGATTAATCTATAAAATTTAATCTGATGACTACAGTGCATCTGCCTCTTTTTGTATAGAAGATCCACCGCGACATCAGATGCGGATCCAGTATTTTGAAAAAAAGAGGGGAGGGCGCGTGCCCCCAAACTTTTGTAGTGGAAGCGGTAAAATGTCTGGATTAACCATAAATGAAGCTAATAACAATGTAAGCTACCCCGAGGCTACATGTAGTTATAATTGCAAGCAAATCAACCCAGTGTGAAAAGACGAACTTTTTTCATTCATGACGACTTCTATAGTATCTTTATGCTGCAAAATGGACAGACATTCCGACAATATTGACTCAGACAAAAATATTGTTAACAGAGGAGTAAGGAGTTAAAAATTAAATAAAAAGGGGGGGGGGGGAACCTCATCAGCCGTTTAAGAAATATTATGAATGACAGTTACGCCTTATTGTATACTTATGTAACTAAGTTTTCTTTACTTTAGTGGAATTACTACACAATTTAATTTTCAACTACGATATTGCAGATCAGCTGATATTTGGTTATTTGGGACGGCGCTTTAATATTTCGAAAAGTAAGGCTTGTAAAATGTTTTATTCCTGGGTGCAGTTCTTGCTGAAAAACTTAAAGGTTTTATATATATATGTAGGTCTGTGTGCTTATAGTATATATTCACTTTATTTTCTTTATAAGACGTATCAAGGACGTATACTAACATGGACGTATACAGTTACTTCTTTTGATTTGAACTTTCCTCAATAGATTATTCTGTGCAATGAACTCTAAAATTTAATACATTAGAAAGGATTTTTCAAAGGGGTAACTCTTGGTAATCAAATAGTTTACTAGAACCTATGTAACGAAAGCGTAGCTATAATCCGACAACCCGAAATTCCGACAGTTCAGTAGTCCGACGGTCCGATATACCCCTAATTTTATATTGTAATACTGTATTTCACTGTATTATATACATCGGGGACTTATATAAGAGTCTAATACGGATTAAGGATGAAAATCTACGAGACCTCTGTTTTGGAGTGGTTGGGAGGGGAGTTGGCAAAACACTAAATGACGCTTCTAAAACATAACTAATCATCGCTTTGAATTTACATGTTGGAGTCACTGTCTCTGGTGGTTTAATGGCATTCATTTATATTAAGCACGGGCTGGATCATGATGTTATATACTATATATATATATATACATACTATAGTAGTTGTATGTCGAGTAATTTTCTGCAAAAGAAATTGGAATCGAACACATAATAACTATAGGAATACATGGGCCGTGAAAGTTCAAAACTTCTCAAGCCCGTATTCTAATCGCAAAGTTATATCTACATATGGCCCGACGCATCGATAGCATATAGCGCAATTCATGCGGACACCAAAGTAATACGAAAATGTCACTCAATTTTAAGCATTATACGTGAGTCAGGCAAAAAGCACAAAACTCTCGTCTCTGTAGGACCGTCTGATTAGTGGATTGTTAAATTTTAGGACTGTACATGTCTCATTATAGGTCTGACCACAGAAATTTCTATGATTTGATAAAATTGCACCCTGGTTTTTCTGATATATCACATTCGACCGGTCAAGACTATTTATCTTTTTATTTATGTATGCGTTATAATAATTAATATTATGATTACCAAAACGATTATAATAGACATGTGACCTGGGATTAGTATTCGTATAAAATTTATTATGTTCCGCGTGTAACATATCAAATACAGTTATATTTTAAGGACACGACACCTGACCTGCAATACACTTAGAATCTTTATCTAATTACTTTATTATTTATAGCACATATAATTTTGCCGAGGTCAAGTACGACTTCACATTCTTGTGTTTACATTTAATTATATGCGGTCAGGGCATATAGATCTATATCTTGTATCCATTATACTGATTTTTTCACGGTTGTAATGGCGATCGTACTACGACGACGCCTAGGAGTCGCGTCACAAACTAAGGCAGATAATCGGAAAAACCTGTCTATATGCAAGAAACAAGAGAATTTTTTTTTTCATTAATGTATCAAGGATATGTTTATTGACTCAAACATAATATACCTTCAGTTGACAGCGTAGTGTTCCAATTAATTGTAAGTTTTAAATGTCTTCCACATATATTTAGCACATACTTACAACTTCTCGTCCAATCAAATTGCTTATATTTGCCTTCTAATTTTCATAGTACATACTTTTCCCGTGTACTAAGTAACTACGCATGAATGACCACAAGGGTAAGATTTCATTGTATCGTAATCAAGATATTTAAAACAAAAATTGCCACTGGCTATTTTGAAATAAAATGCTGTGTTCCAAATTAGATTAAATAGTTTGTAATTAGTTTTCACGTTGATTTTTAAATATCCTATTAAAATCTTTGGATCTAAAAAATGTTTTTGACAATTGCAAATTTCTTTCATTTAAGTAAAGGGTAATACATATGGTTCTTTATACCTTGATTAGAGTACAACGATATCTTAAAATTATGATAATGTATCATCCATGCAATTACTTTGTACACAAAAAGTGTGTACTATGAAACCTTGTGAAGGGGAAATTAAAGCAACTTGGTGATAATTTTTTAAACTTTCTTAAGGAAGGTGATCTATTTCGTCATGAATTGATTGATTTATTGATTATCGGTTGCTTAATTTCCAGTGGCAAATATTTCATGCATGTTCAGGACGATGTCATGAATTGAAAAACTGTGATTATGTCTGAAGATAATGTGCCAATTATATATATATATATATATATATAAACATATTCTGATAAATCTTTTAGTTTTTACTTTGAAATAATAGTAAAAAAAAACACAAAAAAAAAACACAAAACCTAACCTGATCTATTGGTAGTTGCTTTTTTATGCCTATCTGCTAGACTATATCTATGGGGACAAACTATCTATATGTTTCAAATTTATTATAGCTTTAGTTTTACTGTGAAATTAAAAAATGTTTTCAAAACATGTAAAGCTTCCACTGCAATTTAATTATTGCCTGCTTTTGGTCAATTTATTTGGTCATCTTACCATGTAAGAAGAACATGCATAGTAAAACACCGCTTTATATCAATATACATACTTACACAAGCAGCTACCATCTTTTCATTCTGGAGTCAAGGGCCTTTTGAAATCACATATTTTACAATGATACTAGTGAGTAGATTTACAAAACTTCGTTAATGAGCTCCGTTTTACAAACACCTGTGATACAAGTAGTCAGCCAAAATAAACTATCAATAGACCAATTAAAAGATTACTTGAGTTGTAAATATGTGCTAAATTGGATAGTCTATGAAAAGGTATATACTATGAAATTAAGAGCTCGGGGCAAGCCCCTCGCTCTAAATTTCATAGTATATACCTTTTTATAGACTAACCTAGACATATATCACACTCTTCCATTTTAAGAATATTTATTAACTGAGAAAAACTGTTCACTTTAATACTATATAATTATTTATGAAACTTCTGAGTAGTAATCAATCTATTCACTAATTGTGATAATTTCCGTGTATATTTCACGTTTCATTCCCGATCCAATAGCATTTGTGATGTGGGGACGCGTAGCCTACGATTGCCAATTTGGCTACTTGTTCCCGCATGCAGGGTTGCGCAGACACTGCCTTAAAAAAGGGGATTCATTTCTTAAATTTTTCTCTATTCTTTATGGATCCTTAGTATAATCAGATGATTTATTTTCTATAAATCTATTGTTTTAATAGTAAATAAACTGTCTTGTCTCTATTTTTTCTTCTTGTCGCTAATGAGTGAGACCGGTGCAAGGTGACTCAAGGTTTTTTAATTGAAAAAATTATAAATAATGCTTTAAAGTCTTCTGTTCAAACATTGGACAAAAAAATCCCAAAAGGGACATAAGGGTGGAGAGGCTACTCTAATATTGTCTTTGATATTATTTTATCATCTTACAAGAGGTTCACATGGTTACAGGAATCTTGGGAGCAGGAGTAAAAGAGGGTAGCGGTAGTCATGAACTTGAGAAGAGGGGAGACAAAAATAGAAGATTGAAAAATAGGAATCATAAATGTATGTTTGCTAAAAATTAACGATTCTAAGTGGGGTTGGGAGTTTATGGGTAAATGGGAATCAGGGAGGATGGAAGTGCAATATTCCATAAGGAAAAGGAAGATTGGGGCACAGGGGTTTGTTACTATTTGTCGGGTTTACTATCCATGGGAACCCCGAAAAAATAATCCAGATTTTTTTCGGGGTTCCGATGGATAGTAAACCCGGCAAATAGTAACAAACAACTTTTTCGTGGTGATTTTTTCGGGGTTACAATGGATAGTAAATAAACTTGAAAACAATAGAAATTTCAACTGTGATATGTAAGACACAATTTATAAAATTTTTAAAATTGATTTACAACTTTCGCATTAACATTTTTAAGTACCTTACGGTTCACAAAAAGGCAAACATAATTACCACCCTTTGTAGTACGTCTGTCAACATCGGTTTGTTTTTAAAATTTTAAAAAACCAGTAATTACTCGGCTGAAATTCGTCCGCTGATTTGACTGGAAAGGTAAAAGAATATAATATATAAATTTGTCTCGGAAGTCTAATTTAGTGCCAGATTCTGTCGATTCTTTTGATTGTTAAAAGGCAACTTACAAGAGGCAAAGTTTTTGTGTATGAAAAAGTAGCTATTGTGGTATTTAAAACTATACAATGTGGTGAACGAATTTTGAAAATTCCTTTGGTCAAAATAGATGATTCTATTTTATGTCCCGTTACTGCTTACAGTAGAATGTGCCGCATGATTCCTGCTTATGAAGAATCTTCTGCATTTGTTATCAAGAGAAATGCTGGTCTTAAAACAGTAACTTACACACAGTTTCAATCTACTCTAAAGCGTATCATTTCATTGACTGGTAGAGATCAATTCAATTATTCTACACGTTCTTTTAGACGGGGAGGTGCGTCATTTGCTTTCCAGGCTAGAGTCCGTAGCGAACTTATTCAGCTTCACGGTGACTGGGCAAGTGATGCATATAAGCTGTATTTAAACTTTACAATGCAGGACAAAATATCTGTTGCAGAGTCCATGGCCAAACTTTTATGATATATTTTCAGACAAAAACAACAAGCATGTGCTGGTGTTATCACATTCAATCTGTAAACATTTGTCTGATATTTCTAACATGGACCTTCAAGTTTACAGTGGGGCTCGTATTTCTACTTTGAAGAAGAAACTGGATCAGGGAGAAATTAACTTGAGTAAATATTCTTATTGTATAATTCATGTTGGCACTAACGACGTAAGAGATTTTTCTGTGGATCGAATCATTGCTGATTTTAGAGAGTTAATTGTTAAATTTAAATCTTTGTCTCCGCATATTAAGCTGTATATCTCTTCTATTTTACCAAGACCTGTAGATTTAAGTGTGCTAATATTAATAGGCAGTTACTTGTTGTATGACAATAACGAGCAGAACGTTGGTAGTTCTCCTTTACATGACCATGAGCCGGTCAGTCTAGAAGAGATACACAATAGGTATACCGATGAACCACTCCATGTAGACAGTGATACTGGTAGTGGTACATGGGCTCCCTTGTCATCTAAGGTGGAGATGCTGTTGTATATTTTGATACACTAAAGGCTCATAAAGTGGTAGTTTTTTTTTAATTTAAATTCTTTAGCATCAACAACAATGGTTTATGGTTTCACAAGTGTGTTTGGTTTTTGGGGTATTTTTTTTTGGTGGTGGTGGAAAAAGTGGGGGGGATTATTTGAAAAATTTGAACTATTAACCACAATGATATTATGTCTAATAAACTCATAAACTCATTATCATTGTAGAAATTTATGGAATATATTAGTTATTCATTTCAATATATTATCGCTGATTATCTGTTTTTATAACTTTTTATATCTTTTGACACCAATCCTAATTAATTTTATTCATTTGTTTCAGTATAATTAAATCTACATATTGATTTCTGATTTTGAATAGTCTTGAAAGACAACTGCAAGTATGTTGTACTATTTATTTTAGCTAGTAATGCAGTATCAATCTTCTTTTTATTAATAGATTGATGAAACAGCAAAATGTATATGGTTCATCATGAAAGAATGTGGTGTAGATGTGCCACCATTCCTCATAGTAAAAAACCTTTCCTTTGGGGGAATGAATGCTGACAGTTTTGTTGAAAAGGTATGTACTAACCATGCTAACATAGTAAGGCTTTCATTATAAATACAAATTGTACAATATATTTAAAATCAGATTAAATGTTGTTACCGGTATATATTTATGTGAAAGCAATAAAAGGTACAGTCTTCTCATTTTTATTCCTGTTAGGGTATTGACATCCCCATATATGTTTTTATCAGAGTTTAATGAATTAGAAAAAAAAACTACATTTGAGCACGCTAAAATTATCTGAATCATTGCAACAACTGCAACTGCTTAGAATGGCTTTATGAATGTATAGGATGTGTTACTTACGGTAAAATAACCTTTTTAATTTCTATTTTAAAAATGTAGCTAATATTTGGTAAAAATGAAATTCATCATGTTATTTTAACCCATGTTTCTCATATGAATGTTTGTTTGTATTGCAATAACAAACATTCACAGCACTCACATTTTATATATTACGTTAAATGTTGTTGAGCAAGATAATACCAGTGTTTTTGGTCATCTTTGCAGTCAGAGTACATTGTCACAGTGAAAAGAAATACCTTAAAAGTTGTTTCACGTCAGGTGCCAAATTGTTTATATTCCTAAGTTATATTAGACTTTTCATGATGGTTGAACTGTTTAATATTTTTTTAAATGTTAAAGAATTAGATTAAACAAATGAACCATAAGAAATTATAATATGGTAAAATTTCACTAAACATTCAATTGCCTCAATGTCCCTTAACTTTTTAATTGGTTGTTATTGACAGGAGGAGCAAGTAGGCTTGTTCAAGTATGCTTTAAAGGTCTTAACAACATTAGGCCAGCAAATAGAAGTAGTGAAGATCCAAAAAAAAACAGAAAAAGACCCTACTGGTGCTAGTTTGATTGGTGTTCCATGTGAAGTAGTGTGTGCATGTCCATATTTTGTTTATGTTCCATCAGCGTCTGTATTACA